TCTGTCCCGTTAAAGTGTTGGTTTTATTTTTAGTTCCAAGTCTCGGAGAACAAATATTTTGCCATTTTCCTTGACTAACATTACATCACCATCTCTATTCCGCTGTTCTAAGTTGCCTCTTACCCAGATCAGTACAAGTTTCTCCGGTCCAAGGGGGCTTGCACTCACATGAATAACATTGTTTTTTCTCGTCCTACACACACCTCCATTATTACAACTGTTGGTTGTTGGACAGCCCTAAAAAGAAGTAATAACAGACAGTGTGTCGTGAAAACTTGATCAGAACACGAATATGAAAGTACCTTGAAATTATTCCAAAGTAAAGCTTCACCTGTCGCCGCAAATTATGATTCAGTTTTAAAAGCAGATTCCTTTGAAAAAATAAAAGGTCTTCGAGTCCTACACCATGTGTTGCCTTTCGTTCAAAGGATATCTTGTCATACGGAAAAGATGCTACTTTGATGACTGAATATCAGGCGATAAGATCATGGATTTTGTCATATTTGTCATATGGTAGCGTTAGAAGACTGCTTGAACAGAGTTAATAGAGTTAATTCCCCTCTATTAACTCTGGCCTGGAACATATTTTGGCAAGAATGACAAAGCAAGTCGATGTCTTCTTTCTTCGACTAATGCTTAAAGTAAAAAGGCACAGCCAGCGTGTGGCGATAATCCAAAATCTCTCACTCAACTGGCAAAGAGTGAAGTTTACTCCAGCAGCATGATTTCCTCTCTCATGATAGTCCTTCACAATAAGTTTCGTCACCCATTGTCCACGAGACAGAATGACTGGAAATCTGGTATCATATGGAAGAAAACCTGCGAACTTTAATCGACCATCACTGCGGATAACTCCATCGTCGTCGATGCACGGGTTAAGCTTTATCAACTGGCTTTTCTTTGGTATCGGCTTCCCTCAGCTAAAAGAGGGTTTAATCGTCACAAAAAGCCTTGCTTTGTGCCAATCGCACTATTTCTCCTTCAACATCCTTTATTTCTTCCGGCAACAGTTCCATACTTTAATTCCTGTTGTCTCTGTTGCGCATGTTTTGCAGTACTCTTCTTACTCTCGCGTGTACTCGAACCAAACGTGTCCAACTGGTTATCGTTTCGGCTCTAGTCTCCACTCTTTTAGCGTGTTGCTCTGTTTCGGTGCGGTTCCTTTCTGAAGACTACACGTCATAAGGGTTGCATAGGCATTCATGTCTTCTTTCCTCTCCGAGTATCTCGTCTCTGGCATTTCACTAGGTATGTCCGGGACTTTCATCTTCTCTTCCACCAACGTTCTCCAGATTCATCCTCCATACATTCCTCCAACAAGTCGATTACTAGTAAGCAAGCTGCCGCCCTCTTTCGTCGTGATAAATTCATACTTTAACAAGTTTGTTTGTCTCACGCGAAGCCATGTTAGTGTTCACATTTTACGCGGAAAGGGCCTGGAACTAACTGCTCGCGCGACTTTGCTCACGCGACTTTGCTCGCGCGACGTTGCTCGCGCGACTTTGCTCGCGCGACGTTGCTCGCGCGACTCTGCTCGCGCGACTCTGCTCGCGCGACTCTGCTCGCGCGACTCTGCTCGCGCGACTCTGCTCGCGCGACTCTGCTCGCGCGACTCTGCTCGCGCGACTCTGCTCGCGCGACTCTGCTCGCGCGACTCTGCTCGCGCGACTCTGCTCGCGCGACTCTGCTCGCGCGACTCTGCTCGCGCGACTCTGCTCGCGCGACTCTGCTCGCGCGACTCTGCTCGCGCGACTCTGCTCGCGCGACTCTGCTCGCGCGACTCTGCTCGCGCGACTCTGCTCGCGCGACTCTGCTCGCGCGACTCTGCTCGCGCGACTCTGCTCGCGCGACTCTGCTCGCGCGACTCTGCTCGCGCGACTCTGCTCGCGC